TATCCTGGATTGGTCTGACATAAGTGGTATACAGGGTCCTGAACGATTCCTTACACAAATTTCTAAAGACAGTTCTTATGTTGGCCAATCTAGCATATGTCACTGATGATATCCTTTTGATGTGGACTTCTTGGGACCACATCAAAATGATATCATCAGGGGCATATGCTTGGTGTGTGTGTGTGTGTGTGTGTGTGTGTGTGTGTGTGTGTGTGTGTGTGTGTGTGTGTGTGTGTGTGTGTGTGTATGTTTATAATTTAACAACAAGCGCGCACGCACGCACACATACATGTACACACATACCTTCATGGCAACCCACCCACACATTCAGCAAACCCCCCTCCTCCTTACACACACACACACACACACACACACACACACACACACACACACACACACACACACACACACACACACACACACACACACACACACACACACACACACAATTCTCAGGGGAATTGACTTGGTGGACAAAGAGAAACTCTTCATCACGGGTGGGACACAAACAAGGGGACACAGGTGGAAATTTAGTACCCAAATGAGCTACAGAGACATTAGAAAAATTTATCTCAGTGTCAGAGTAGTAGACAAAGGGAATGCATTAGGCAGTGATGTGGTAGCGTCAGACTCCATACACAGTTTCAAATGTAGATATGATAGAGCCCAGTAGGCTCAGGAATCTGTACATCAGTTGACTGACGGTTGAGAGGCGGGACCAAAGAGTCAAAGCTCAACCACAGCAAGCACAACTAGTTGAGTTCAACTAGGTTAGCACTTGGAGGACATTCAGAGAGGCAGATTTGTTAACCTCATTATGGAGACATCAACACGAGCATAAGAAATATTGCCGGAACAACCGTGGACATCTTCAAGAGGTAAGTAGATTGTTTCCTCCAAGAAGTGCCGGACCAACCGGGCTGTGGTGGATATGTGGGCCTACGGGCCGCTCCAAGCAACAGCCTGGTGGACCAAACTCTCACAAGTCAAGCCTGGCCTCGGGCCGGGCTTGGGGAGTAGAAGAACTCCCAGAACCCCATCAACCAGGTATCAACCAGGTAAAAGGCTGTTCTGGAAACTGGAACATGCTGGAGAGGTGACAGGGAGACGTCTGACATGGATAAAACAAGTTCTGACAGACAGATGAGGGCGGTAAACAGAGACAATGTATCTGACTGGAGGAGTGTTACTAGCGGAGTACCACAGGGCTCAGTTCTTGCACCAGTAATGCTCATCGTCTACATCTTCCAGAAGGAATTCAAAATTATGTGAACATGTTTGCGGATGATGCTAAGATACTGGGGAAGATAGGAGAATAGGAAATACTAAAGAAACTGTTTGTGACTTTTGTGAGGTCAATATTGGAATATGCAGCAGTTGTATGGTGCCCAAATCTCATGAAGCACATAAATAAACTGGAAAAGGTGCAAAGGCATGTTGCAAAATGGCTACCGGAAATGAGAAACATTAGTTACAAGGAGAGACTAGAGGCATTGATAGAAGAAAAAGAAGTGATATGATCACCACTTACAAAATAATCACAGGAATTGACTAAATTGACAAAGAGGAATTCCTGAAACCAGCAGTTTCACGAACAAGAGGACACAGAGGCAAGCTAAGGAAACAGAGATGCCGAAATAATATTAGAAAGTATTCTTTTGCAAACAGAGTGGTAGACGGTTGGAACAAGTTGGGTGAGAAGGTGGTGGAGGCCAAGACCGTCAGTAGTTTCAAAGCGTTATACGACAAAGAGTGCTGGGAAGACGGGACACCACGAGCGTAGCTCTCATCCTGTAGCTACACTTAGGTAAATACACACACACACACACCCACGCACACAGCCAGCCTCCACCACATCACTGTCTAATGGAATGCATTAGGCAGTGGTGTGGTGGAGGCTGACTCCATACACCAGTTTCAAGTGTAGATATGATAGAGCCCAGTAGGCTCAGGAACCTGTACACCAGTTGATTGACAGTTGAGAGGTGGGACCAAAGAGCCAACCCCCTCAAGCAGAAATGAGTGAGTGCACCCACACACACACACACACACACACACACACACACACACACACACACACACACACACACACACACACACACACACACAAACAACTCCTTTACTAAACGACTCACCTAACTTTAGAGTTCCCACAAGAAATAACTCACCCAATCAATCGATCAACCCATCAAGAAGTGGGATAGCCCCAACCAATCAACCAGTAATACACTCTCAATCACCACCCCCATCCCCCCCCCCCCCCCCTCTTACCACTCCCCCCGGGTAGACGCCCGCCATATTGAATAACACATCCACCCATCTTGTGTAGAAACCACCGCCAACTCAGCAACTTTGAAATTACACACTTGATCAGAGGCGATGTTGTAATCTCAACTTGCTTCAATTGACTGTCTACCGTGGACGGGGGATGGAGGCAAACGTGTCATTATTTTCTTTATGATATCGTAATTCTTGGTTATGTTGATGGTGTGTGTGTGTTGTGGTTCAGACCGGGAGAGTAATGCATTGATGTATTGGGAAGACTCAATAAATCCCCTCTCTCAACCTCCCTCCCAAAAAGGCTCTTCTTGAATATATTATTATTAGTTGATGGTGGGAGTACTTCTGCTACTATCATAATGCTATTGTTACTATTTCTACTTCTGGTACTATTGATACTTTTAGTACTACTAAAAGTAGTAGTAATAATGATAGTAAATAATAGTTTATTATTATTATTATTTTCTACCACAGACGTGGCCAGACATTTACAATGCTAACCAGCATATATGCATTTTCTTCTGTCCTCCATGGACAGGGTGAGAGATGTGTTAAACATATAGTTCAGGGATTTATTGAACAATCAACCACAGAAGGGGATTGTATAGTACTTTAAAAATGCTAAGCTAACCTACATACCTAAATACATAGATACACAGATTTACGTCTGCCCTACATAAAGTGTTCGATCTGTCTTTTACATAGTGTCATTAATGTGCATTTACAAAGGTGAAATGTAATTCTGATCAGTTTCCACATGTACTTTATACACATACATATACACACACACACATATACATACATATAGTGGCAGGTAGTGACCAAGGCTTTGATATGGGGGAAGGTATTTCTCCAGCAACGAATTGTCTTATATACTTGATTAATTTTGTTACGTTTCTCTATCTCTCTCTTCTCTCAATCCCTTCTCTTTCTCTCTCTCCCTCCCCTCTCTTCCACCCTCCATCCCTCACCCACCTTCCATTCCTCGTTCCTTCAATCTCCACCCCTCTCTCTCTCTCTCTCTCTCTCTCTCTCTCTCTCTCTCTCTCTCTCTCTCTCTCTCTCTCTCTCTCTCTCTCTCTCTCTCTCTCTCTCTCTCTCACCATTTTTCCCCATATCCAGATACAAGGGCGTTTCTTCCCCCACGTTCCGTAGCACCTCTGACCTGCCTACGTTCTCTGTAGTGGCTGTGGGTAGCCTTCTTGTCATGATCACGGCATACAAGGTTGAGGAGGTCCGCGGGCCTCACCCACCCGCACGCTGCTCTGCCCTCTCACGCACCTCCAGATTGAAGTTATTGTAATATTGAGTTTTTTCTCTCAAGATACGAGAGTTGAGAGTTCTTGGAAACGAGATTATGCCATGTTCCTGCCCTAGAAACTACCGGGAAGAGACTTCATAAGTAGCTTAAAGCAGTTTTTGAACAATTGCGGGGTTAAAGGGGTATTCCTCAAGCGTGACTCTGGTGCGCCGAACTTCTCTAGAGATGTTATCGGAGATTTCAGCAGTTGTGTATGTAGTCTAGATCGTTTATTATGCACCTTATACCCTTCCATCGTGCGGGTGGGAAGGGTTACAGAGGCATATGGTGGGGGCTCAAGAGCTGGAGCTCCCAAGTTGTATTGTAAGGTGGGTTCTATGTCGTAAATCTTCCTCCACAGGCATCAAGATCTGTAGGGGCTCAGATTCACGAAGCAGTTACGCAAGCACTTACGAACCTGGAGCCAGATTCACGAAGCAGTTACGCAAGCACTTATGAACGTGTACATCTTTTCTCTATCTTTGACGGCTTTGGTTACATTTATTAAACAGTTTACAAGCATGAAAACTTGCCAATCAACTGTTGTTATTGTTATAAACAGCCTCCTGGTGCTTCGGAGCTCATTAACTGTTTAATAATTGTAAACAAAGCCGCCAAAGATTGAGAAAAGATGTACAGGTTCGTAAGTGTTTGCGTAACTGCTTCGTGAATCTGGCGCCTTTAGTCTGCGTCCATCATCGTTAGTCGGAGGCTGCAGATGCCTTGAAGACGCGCCCAACCACTTGGGCTGGACGGTAGAGCGACGGTATTGCTTCATGCAGGTCGGCGTTCAATCCCCGATCGTCCACAAGTGGTTGGGGCACCATTCCTTTTCCCCGCCGTCCCATTCCAAATCCTTATCCTGACCCCTTCCCAGTGCCATATAGTCGGAATGGCTTGGCACTGTCCCCTCATAATTTCCTCCCCTCCTTGAGGGCGCTCTCACCATTTTCTCAAGATGCAACAAACAAACTAATAATAATAATAATAATAATAATAATAATTATATATACTAATTATATAATACTATAATTATACTGAGGTAGAGGATTAATTATATTTAACATATTCATGTCACTTTAGTAATGATTCACATTCCTTTAGATGTGATTTACAGCCCTTTAGCTGTGATTTACAAGTCCCCTTTAAGCAGACGATGAGTCACAATAACGTGGCTGAAATATGTTGACCAGACCACACACTAGAAAGTGAAGGGACGACGACGTTTCGGTCCGTCCTGGACCATTCTCAAGTCGATTTATGTGAGAATGTTCTCAATCGACTTGAGAATGGTCCAGGACGGACCGAAACGTCGTCGTCCCTTCACCTTCTAGTGTGTGGTCTGGTCAACGTATCTCTTTAACAGTGATTGGTGTTAAACAGTGACTAACGTGGTGCTTCTCCTCTATCTCTGGCACAGTTGGAGGTTGACGCTGAGGGCGAGGGCGGTGGATCGAAGGCACTTTTCCTGGAGAAGGTGAGGCTAAGCAACGCAGCCTGTCAGTCTGGAGACTTCGAGACGGCGGTGGCCCTCTACACTGAAGCCATCGCGCTCGACCCCCACAATCACATCCTCTATTCCAACCGCTCTGCCGCCCATATCAAGCTCGCTAAGTTCGCCCACGCCCTCCAGGATGCCACCAAGGCGAGGGAACTCAACCCCAAGTGGCCCAAGGTAGGTGTCAGACCCCACGTGTTCTTTGTTTATGTTATGGCCCAAGGTAGGGTGTCCAGCCCCACGTGGTCTTTGTTTATGTTATGGCCCAAGGTAAGGTGTCAGACCCCACGTGTTCTTTGTTTATGTTATGGCCCAAGGTAGGGTGTCCAACCCCACGTGGTCTTTGTTTATGTTATGGCCCAAGGTAAGGTGTCAGACCCCACGTGGTCTTTGTTTATGTTATGGCCCAAGGTAAGGTGTCAGACCCCACGTGGTCTTTGTTTATGTTATGGCCCAAGGTAAGGTGTCAGACCCCACGTGGTCTTTGTTTATGTTATGGCCCAAGGTAAGGTGTCAGACCCCACGTGTTCTTTGTTTATGTTATGGCCCAAGGTAAGGTGTCAGACCCCACGTGTTCTTTGTTTATGTTATGGCCCAAGGTAAGGTGTCAGACCCCACGTGTTCTTTGTTTATGTTATGGCCCAAGGTAGGTGTCCAGCCCCACGTGGTCTTTGTTTATGTTATGGCCCAAGGTAAGGTGTCAGACCCCACGTGGTCTTTGTTTATGTTATGGCCCAAGATAAGGTGTCAGACCCCACGTGGTCTTTGTTTATGTTATGGCCCAAGGTAAGGTGTCAGACCCCACGTGGTCTTTGTTTATGTTATGGCCCAAGATAAGGTGTCAGACCCCACGTGGTCTTTGTTTATGTTATGGCCCAAGGTAAGGTGTCAGACCCCACGTGGTCTTTGTTTATGTTATGGCCCAAGGTAAGGTGTCAGACCCCACGTGGTCTTTGTTTATGTTATGGCCCAAGGTAAGGTGTCAGACCCCACGTGGTCTTTGTTTATGTTATGGCCCAAGGTAAGGTGTCAGACCCCACGTGGTCTTTGTTTATGTTATGGCCCAAGATAAGGTGTCCAGCCCCACGTGGTCTTTGTTTATGTTATGGCCCAAGGTAAGGTGTCAGACCCCACGTGGTCTTTGTTTATGTTATGGCCCAAGGACTTATTGATGACAAAGGACTTAGTATTTGTTAATTAATATGAACTCACGTTTTAATTAGCGTAGTTTGTCGACGCGTTTATTCAGCGAGTTCAGCGTGCGTGCGTTCAGATCTGGTCGCTAATTCGTCTTTCGTGTACTATTTTGCTCGTAGATTTGATCCTCCTGCAGGTTAGGTTAGGTTAGGTTAGGTTAGGTTAGGTTAGGTTAGGTTAGGTTAGGTTAGGTTACGAATGTCTATCGCCTTCTTTCTCATGCTCCTTGTCCTCATCTTCTTATCACATTTACAATTAAAAATTGTTCATTCGTGTTAGCTTGACCGACCACTTGATTGATCCTTTTTCTCGTTATTGGTCTCCCAGACACTTGAAGATTTACGGGCTCACCATAGCCCGTGCTACATGGATACTTCGTTCTGAGTACCTAAATCTGAAACAACAATGACGACAACACTGAAGATGGTGTTTCTGATATATCTTTTATTCATTTTGGACCCGTTGCTTCCTGTCTGTGAGAGCTTCCTGTCTGTGAGAGCTTCCTGTCTGTGAGAGCTTCCTGTCTGTGAGAGCTTCCTGTCTGTGAGAGCTTCCTGTCTGTGAGAGCTTCCTGTCTGTGAGAGCTTCCTGTCTGTGAGAGCTTCCTGTCTGTGAGAGCTTCCTGTCTGTGAGAGCTTCCTGTCTGTGAGAGCTTCCTGTCTGTGAGAGCTTCCTGTCTGTGAGAGCTTCCTGTCTGTGAGAGCTTCCTGTCTGTGAGAGCTTCCTGTCTGTGAGAGCTTCCTGTCTGTGAGAGCTTCCTGTCTGTGAGAGCTTCCTGTCTGTGAGAGCTTCCTGTCTGTGAGAGCTTCCTGTCTGTGAGAGCTTCCTGTCTGTGAGAGCTTCCTGTCTGTGAGAGCTTCCTGTCGGCGAGAGCTTCATGTCTGGGAGAGCCTCCTGTCTGCGAGAGCTTCATGTCTGGGAGAGCCTCCTGTCTGTGAGAGCTTCCTGTCTGTGAGATATTTCTGTCTGTGAGAGCTTCCTGTCTGTGAGAGCTTCCTGTCTGTGAGAGCTTCCTGTCTGTGAGATATTTCTGTCTGTGAGAGCTTCCTGTCTGTGAGAGCTTCCTGTCTGTGAGAGCTTCCTGTCTGTGAGAGCTTCCTGTCTGTGAGATATTTCTGTCTGTGAGAGCTTCCTGTCTGTGAGAGCTTCCTGTCTGTGAGAGCTTCCTGTCTGTGAGATATTTCTGTCTGTGAGAGCTTCCTGTCTGTGAGAGCTTCCTGTCTGTGAGAGCTTCCTGTCTGTGAGAGCTTCCTGTCTGTGAGATATTTCTGTCTGTGAGAGCTTCCTGTCTGTGAGAGCTTCCTGTCTGTGAGAGCTTCCTGTCTGTGAGAGCTTTCTGTCTGTGAGAGCTTCCTGTCTGTGAGAGCTTCCTGTCTGTGAGACCTTCCTGTCTGTGCGAGCTCGCAGACCGGATGACTGTCAGAAACAAGACAAGACAAAGAAAGGAGATCAGCCTGATTGATTGATGACTGATGAAGATTAAGTCACCCTAGGGGTGGCACGGGCATGAATAGCCCGTAAGTAGAAGGTGTTTGAAGCCCTTACCAGTACCAGTAGCTGGTACTGTTGATCTGACGAGGAAAGGGGGGACTGAAAAGTGGGACAGGGGGAAGTATTGTGTTGAGAGGAAGCTTCGGCGTCACAGAGAGTAGACTGCATATTCCTCGACTGTAAGAAAGACGTTGTTACAGTACCTGGCATGAAACTAGCGTCAAGTTAGTGGGAGAGATTGAGGGTAATGATGGGGATGGAAGACATGGGCGCAAGTAACAAGGAAGGTGCCTACAATGGATTGGAGAAGGGAAGGGAACTATCAGGGGGGAAAGCGTCAAGCCATCACGACTATATAGCACTGGGAAGGGGTCAGGATAAGGATTTGGGATGGGACGGGGAAAAGGAATGGTACCCAATCACTTGTGGACGGTCGGGGATTGAACGCCGACCTGCAAGAAGCGAGACCGTCGCTCTACCGTCCAGCCCAAGTGGTTGGACAATGGATAAGAGAGTACTTAACCAACGGAAGACAGACATCAGTGCAGGCAAGCTTCTTCATATCAATATTTGCCGATGCAAAAATTATGAGGAGGGTAAATATAGAGAGGAACTGCAAGACACTACAAGAATACTTGGATACACCGTAAGAATGGTTTAATAAGTGGCTACTAGAGTTCAATCCACCAAGTGCAACATAATGGTGTTGACAGTCGGAGGCGGAAAATAAGGACCTTTGTGGTGACATCACATCGAACATGTCTTACGATAATGTGAACACAGAGTCGTTGAGGATCTTGTGCCCCCCACATACGTCAGACCATTCCTGGACTGTGAAGCGCCAGCATGGAGTCCATATCTACGAAAACACAAAAGCGAAACATTTGAAAGTTTCTTACGAGTCTTGCAGTAAACTTTCCCAAGATTTGAGAGTTATGAATGACGTGGAAAAGTAAAGGAATCTGTCATTATGTACTCACCTAATTGTGCTTGCGGGGGTTGAGCTCTGGCTCCTTGGTCTGTGTGTGTTTGTTTACTATTTGTGTTTACTACTTGTGCCTGCAGAATCGAGCTATTAGCTCTTGGACCCCGCCTTTCTAACCAATCAATTGTTCCTGTATCTATCTACTACATATATTTGTCTCTAACACACACACACATCCCCGGGAAGCAGCCCGTGACAGCTGAATAACTCCCAGGTACCTATTTACTGCTAGGCAACAGAGGGCATTAGGGTGGAAAGAAACTATGCCCATTGTTTCTCGCCGGCGCCCGGAATCGAACCCGGGACTACAGGATCACGCGTCCATCGTGCTGTCCGCTCAGCCACCGGGCCCATGTGTGGGGGTGGGGACACTGTTAGCTACGGGTACATGTAATAAGAGAAGGTGACGGCGACCCGGCCAACGCCGGGTACAGTTACATGTAATAAAGCCAGGAATGAGAGGAGATGTTCGCCCTCATGCTGATTATCATGGTGAGGCTGACAGCAGCTGGAGCAGCAGCAGGAGCAGCAGCAGGAGCAGCAGCAGGAACAGCAGCAGCAGCAGCAGCAGCGAGGAGCAGGAGCAGCACCGCAGCAGCAGCAGCAGCAGCGAGGAGCAGCAGCAGCAGGAGCAGCAGCAGCAGCAGCAACAGCAGCAGGAGCAGCAGTAGGAGCAGCAGTAGGAGCAGGAGCAGCAGTAGGAGCAGCAGGAGCAGCAGCAGCAGGAGCAGCAGCAGCAGCAGGAGCAGCAGGAGCAGCAGCAGCAGGAGCAGCAGCAGCAGCAGGAGCAGCAGCAGCAGCAGCAGGAGCACCGCAGCAGCAGCAGCAGGAGCAGCAGCAGCAGGAACAGCAGCAGCAGCAGGAGCAGCAGCAGCAGCGAGGAGCAGCAGCAGCAGGAGCAGCAGCAGCAGCAGCAGCAGGAACAGCAGCAGCAGCGAGGAGCAGCAGCAGCAGCAGCAACAGCAGCAGGAGCAGCAGCAGCAGCAGCAGCAGGAGCAGCAGCAGCAGCAGCAGCGAGGAGCCTTGATTGACAGCTTGGTCACATGGCAGGCTCAGAATACTTGACGCCGCGCTTACCCCTGCTACAAGGAACGACCTTCCCTCCAGACGACCCCTCCGCTACCACCCCCAGCCACTAGGACGTCGTTAAAGGCGCGTAGAGGCACTCGGTGCACATAGGGGCTTATGGGGGCCCTATGGAGATAGGGAAGACGAAGGGGAAGGTGGGGAAAGAGGGGTCTGAGGACCCACTTCTGGACCTGGATGAAGAAGGGTGCAACCAACCAGATCCAATGCTATATCTTCCCCCGTTATTTCCTTCTATTTCTCTCCCCTTATGTAAATGGAACCTAATGGCACCCGGGCAGCAAGGGGACACTCACCTAGAGCCCCTGGTGTGTCCCCTAGCACCGAAGGGGAGCTGCCAGATAAAGAAAAAAGGGGAAAAAATGAATTTCGACTAAGACTTCTGGGAACCTTCCTCCCATCTTGAGACGCGCTGATTGAGGTCCTGGCCAATAGGGCATTGCGTTAGCCTCCACCTGCCTCAGGCCAAGGTCGCACCCGCCCTCCGCCAACACCTACAACCTTTGCCCTTAAGTCCTCTCCACTTAAGGCTGCATTTTGAGCGCGAGAGGGATGTGGACTCGGTCTTGTGGCGGCAGGTTGAAGAACATATTGAGGCTTGAGAAGTGTATACAAAAACACACGTAAATGGCCTACCATACAATCCGTGGTTGCTTTGCTTGGTTGGGAGGGTGATGGGGTGAGAGAGGGGGGGTGGGGGGGGGGTTGTTGTTGCCAGCGACCCGCAGTGGCAGATGCTTGCCATGTTGCCATCGTCTCCTGCCTTTTGTCGCCAACACTGGCATAATATCGGCAAGAATGTTAAATGGTGGGTATAGACTAGGCGGCCATCTTTCTCTCTCCCTCCCTCCTCCCCCCGTCCCATGCACTCACTCTGTCACTCTCCTCCTCCCACTCATTTCCTCTCGCTTGTCTCCTCTCACTAATTCTCTCCTCTTAATCACTCTTGGGGGGGACTTTCCAGTAACTCATCTATTAAGGCTGACTATTACTTACCGCGCGGTCACCTGTCTCTTCATTATTCACTAGATGATCCGGTGAGATCGCTTCACCTCTCATCTTGGAACAGGAAGATTTCCACCACAGTCACTCAGGACACCCACCCTGGCAGTCACTCAGGACACCCACCCTGACAGTCACTCAGGACACCCACCCTGTCAGTCACTCACGACACCCACCCTGACTGTCACTCAGGACACCCACCCTGTCAGTCACTCAGGACACCCACCCTGACAGTCACTCAGGACACCCACCCTGACAGTCACTCAGGACACCCACCCTGACAGTCACTCAGGACACCCACCCTGACAGTCACTCAGGACACCCACCCAGGCAGTCACTCAGGACACCCGCCCAGCCAGTCACTCAGGACACCCACCCTGTCAGTCACTCAGGACACCCACCCTGACAGTCACTCAGGACACCCACCCTGACAGTCACTCAGGACACCCGCCCTGACAGTCACTCAGAGTACCCACCCTGCCAAGGGACTGTGATATAAGGAGAAGCAGCTCTGACGTCCCCAGGGGACTGTGGTATAAGGAGAGGCAGCTCTGACGTCCCCAGGGGACTGTGGTGTAAGGAGAGGCAGCTCTGACGTCCCCAGGGGACTGTGGTGTAAGGAGAGGCAGCTCTGACGTCCCCAGGGGACTGTGGTGTAAGGAGAGGCAGCTCTGACGTCCCCAGGGGACTGTGGTGTAAGGAGAGGCAGCTCTGACGTCCCCCAGGGGACTGTGCT